CATGATGACGCATTCCGATGCTGCTCACGTCTACCCAGACCCACGACGATGCAATTTTTGTTGTTTTGTTGGTCGATGGATGCATCGGACGCTGTCGACCCAAAATCCTATCCGCCGTCGCGCGCTGTGATTGGTCAAAATTCTGTTTCGCCGTTGACTTTTTTACAATCGCGTCCCAAGCCAATTAACGGAAGAGGAATAGCATGGTCTTCCGCGCGGCCGCCCCGCCTTTGGACGACGAGCTGCAGGAGAAGCTCGCCCGGCCGGGCTTCAACGTCGAGTCCCACGAGCTCATCGAGCAGCGCCTCGAGAACCTCAAGCGCAAGCCCACGGTGCTCTCGTGGCTCGACTCGTACGTGCGCGCTGCCGAGGCCGAGGCCGACGACGACGAGTGGCGTCCGCGTCGCCGGACCGTTCCGCGCTCGTCGCCTGGCTTTGTCGGTCATCTGTTGTGGTCGATGCTCGGCCTTGCAGCGTCGCCGCTGATCTTGCTCATCTGCAGCCCGTTCCAGCGCTTTTACGGCCCAGGGTGCGGACGTCCCATGGCCTGCCTCCTCGACGGTGCTCACGTTTGCATAGGTCGTGGCCATTAGACTGCGCGTCGCCGTTTGGCTTTGTGCGCAAGAGCGCGCTGAACCTCTTGACGCTTGCGTTGCTGCTGCTGCTCGTCTACGTGCACCTGACGCAGGAATGGCCGTCGCTAAGCAACCTGCCAGCGTCGCTCGAGCTCGCGCAGGCGTCGGCCACCGTGCTGCGCGACCAAGTGGTCGCATGCGCCCACTGCGTGCGTCTTCACGAACAGTTTCTCGACGTGACGCAGCACATTCTCGCGACGATCGTGGCCGCGGACCACGACGCCTTTCCGAGCCTCGAGCCGCCGCTGTCGATGGACCCGGACTGCACCGGCCCGGTGCTGCAGCTCGTTGGGTTTGCTGGGCTTCTTTTGCTTGTCTTGTACTTTTACACGACCACGACGCGCGTGCTGGCGCTGCTCGTCGTGGTGTTGCGGACGTCGATGGTGGCGCGGCTCGTGGCCGAGTATGCGACGCTGCAGCCGCGCATCGTCCGCATCGACCCGACGTACGCGCTGTTGGACGAAGAACTCGTGCTCTCGGTCACCGGCGTCGACCTCGTACCGGGTGGCACCGTCGCGTGGATCCCGTACTGGTGCTCGGCCTCGACATTTGCGTCGACCGCGTTTGGCGGCGACTGCGCCAAGCAGTTTGCCAGTGCGTTTGCAAGCGGGACGGTCACGACGACGTTTTCGGTGCTGGAAACGTACATTCCGTGCTACAAGCCGCCGACCGACCCGACCGAGGCGCGCGACTATCGGTGTTTTGAGACGGTCCGCCTCCGCGTCAAGGAGGCCAAGAACATTCCCGGTCTCTCGCCGTCCCTCTAGTGATAGTGCTCTCGATTGAATTATTCTCTTCCTCTGATACGATGGCATTATTCTCTTGTACGACCGACAGCATGCGACGTGTGAGCCTCGATGACGTGAATGTGCTTTCCGTCATCAACTTTCAAGCACCGCGCGGAGGTCGTCGACGAGCAAACACAGCATCGTGGATGGCGCCAGAGTGCGGAGCACCGTCTGTGCCAGACCACCGACGTCGACGTGAACGAGTAGTGTGACCGTGGCCGATGTGGGGGTGGCCCCTGGCCGCACCACCCACCCAGACGGGTACACGACGAGTGGTGTGTACGATGTATCGAGCGTAGCAGTCGCCTCGCGTGACCACAAGAGAGCTTCCTCCCTACCGTGCAGGAGCAAAGTTGGAGTCAGCGGCAAGCGAAATACGACGACCGGCAGACCAGTGGAGCGACGCGACGGCCATAATGTGCGCAGACGTTGCCTGCAGAAGCATCGCACGCCGGGGCTTCGCACCTCGAATGCGGTACGTGGCTTCGACAATACTGGCGCGACCGCTCTGATGCAACGTGCAGGCTACACCCTCAACGTGAGGGTCAGTTAATAAAATGGACCCACGCACTGTACCGGAATGACCAAAGACGTAGCCCAAGGGCCCGTAGAGGTCCAGCGCGTTGCTAAGGGCTGCGTAGGCTGCATCGGGCGATAGAGCAGTGTCCATTTGAATCTATCACGCCCATGAGGTGCCCGCACACGCGCGCGAGGAGCCGCGCACCCGCGCCGCCACTGATTTGTGTGGTGGCAGGTGCAACGAGACGTCGATGGTGGCCCCAGTGTGGACTGTCGACTTGTCCCACATCGTTGTGTCTCGATCGAGGGCGGCGATGGCGGCTGGGAGCTGGTGCAGCAGGCGATGGGCCTCCTCGGCCACATGCTGCGGCGCACCGCTCATGCTGCTCAAGGATTGCACATGTAGCAGCGCGTTGAGCCATTCGGCGGCTGCCGGTGTGTCCAAATACACGGTCACTGGCTCTGCGCCTGGCGAAGTCAGGACGATTTGACACACGTCCCGGGCGACGGACAAGTGCGTGACGACCTCGAGGTGGATGCCTCCGACAGGCGCCGACGTCGGCGCTTTCGAGACATACAGAATCGGGTGGCCTCGCACGACACCGAGCGTCACCCACCGGCGCTTGCGTCGGAGAACCGAGACGCCAGTGACCGTCGCTGCTTCAAGTTGGACCCATCCGCTCTTGCCCCATGGCGGCTCGGCCATTTTGATCGTTTTAACGCAAACAACAAGAGTACGCTAAACGATAAACGCCATTAGTTAATACGCGTTAAACCGGGCAGTTGAATTCAGGCGATACTAGGACAGTCGTTTAGACCGCACAGTCCATATTCTTGACCCAATACATCGTAGAAGTACGTC